ATACCTACCTCACTGTCAGATCAGTCCCCGCGTCTTCAGGGTGCAGCTTTTCTCTGCCAATTTTAGGGCAAATATCACTAAGTCACTCTTGCCACCTAGGATTTGTCCTGGATCTTCTGAGATGGTTTCTGCTTGGGCATGGAGCCTTCTGGGTCACTCCCCTGCCTCAGGTTTGATTTTAGTGACTGTGGTTCCCTGGCACTGCTACCTTGGGGTTCCTGCTGAGCATGTCTGTTTGTTTGTTTGTTTGTTTGTTTGTTTGTTTGTTTGTTTTTGTGGAACCGGGAATTGAACTCCGACCCTTGCGCTTGCCAGGGAAGCACTTATTCTACTGAACCATCTCCCCAGCAGCATGTAGTCTTTAAAGGTAGAGCAGCTTCCCATGGGTCTGCCCCCATGTTGTTTTATTTACTTATTTGCTTTTTATAATGGGCATTGAACCCAGGGCCTCTGCTCTGTGCTACGTCCTGGCCCTTTTTCCTTTTTTTGAGACAGGGTCTTGCCAAGTTGCCCAGGCTGGGCTTGAACCTAGGATCCTCCTGCCTCAGCCTCTGAAAGCTGGGATTACAGTAAGGATGTGCCACCAGGGTTTTTTAAGTTAGACATTCATGTCCAGGTTTTTTTTTTTTATCTTTTATTTATTCATTTATTTGGTACAGGGTCTCACTACACAGCTTGGACTCGTAATGATCCTCCTGTCTCAGCCTCCCCACTGCTGGGATTACATGCACCACCATGCCTGGTCTTGTTGGCCTTCACAGCATGCCAGGGGTTCCAGGGCCAGCATGGCATCCAGTACCAGGGATTGCATCCCATAGTGGGGATCAAACTCAGGTCATTGTGCTCACCAGGCAAGTGCTTAGACCACCAAGCAATCTGCCTAGCCCCTACATCTAGATTTAAGTAGACACATGTGAGTTCTACACTCAAATCGGGCAACAAAATACAATCAATGCTCAGGATTCCTTTTGACTGGTGAATGTGCCCACTCACTAAAATAGAGCAACCCCAACTTACCCCATGGCACCTCCCCCGGGGGTTACAGCTCCTATCTAGATGCCCCCATGCCTCACATGCCCGCCCTGAGGCCCTGGAGAGGTGACCCCTCACTGTAGTCACAGGGCGTGACACTCATCAATGCATCAGCGGGGCCACTCCCTCTGCTTTTGGCTCCTGAGTCAGCCTCCTACGGACAGAAACTTCTACAAACTGTGAACCAAAATAAACCTCTCCTGCTTTACACCATGGGCGTCGGGTGTGTCATGTTGTGCCTCCTTCCACCACAAGAAAGTGACTCAGACACCAGGCATCCAAGATGCCCCCCAGAGCAGGAACAAAAATTCAGTTGCATAGTGCAGGAGTTTGAGTTCCCAGCAAAGGTCAAACAAGACTCTTATTTTATACTGTCAACATTTGCTTGTCTTGGTCTAGTCAACGCCTCATCATCCAACAGATTTCCCTGCCTTTTTACGACTTCAGCATTCACACAGCTTTTCACAAGTGAAACACTTTCACCAAAGTGCTGTGTTTAATGTCTAATTGCAGGAGATGATGATGAATGTTGTGGAGGAAGATGAGCTAGATAAGGTGACTGGGTGCTGCTGAGTCAAGAGCAAATTCACATAAGCTGTCTTTTCACAGGAAGCCAAGGAAAGCGAGGTTCTGTGTTAACAAGCTCAAGATGTCAACAGCCCGGTGCACACCCCTAATCCCAGGACTCTGGAGGCTGAGGCAGGAGGATGGCCGTGAGTTCGAGGCCAGCCTGAGCTGCATAGCTAAAGACGTCAAGGCCAGAAGCTCCAGGGCTCACTCACTAGTTTTCCTGGGTCACGGGCTCGGTACCCAACTCTGCTCATTTGTATCTTGCTGTGCTTTGAATAAGTATGGATTGTAACGTACTGAAAATATTTGCAAGTGTTAGTTCCCAAAATTTAAGAAATTAAGTTTCTATTTGTTGAATCATTAGTTTTAGTTTGAAAGAACTTTTTTTTAAATAGCTAGAAAGCTTTTTTTTTTTTTCCCCCCCGGAACGGGAGATTGAATTCAGACCCTTGAGCTTGCCAGGGAAGCGCTTATTCAACTGAGCCATCTCCCTGGCCCTGATAGAAAGGGCCAGGAGAGACAAATATTTTGACAGCCCTGAGAGACAACTATTAGCGAAGTCAAAACACTTATTTTTGCACTAAAGAGAAACGTGTATTAGAATTCGTACATTCACCTTAATAGTACTTATGCCTGGGACATGAGCGGTGTCCAAGCTGGGCATTGTGCTTGCCTATAATCCCAGGAGGATCTCGGGGCCAAGATTTTGATGGCACCCTGGGCAACACAGGGAGACCCCACCTCTTATTTGTCTGGGGAGGGGGTGGGGGCGGCTGTATAACTGTCTGCAGTGTTTCTTAAAATACTAAATAATGCACAATATGTTGAATTTCAGGAATTGGCTTTGTATTAACCTATTAACTTGCTTCTTTAATAGAAAATTGCAACCTAATTACACCAGCCCCACTAGAAGAAGCTCCGGCTGCTCGAGCTCCGCCCCTGTCCGGTGATGGGGACAGCTCCGGGCCAGCGGGGGATAGCAAGGGTCAGAAGGCACGGCTGGCGTCTGTAACGTGACGGCTCTAAGGGGGACTTGCAGCTGTGACCCAAGCGTGGCAGAGCCGCAAGCTGCCACAGTGCAGCCACGGGCAGGAACCGCACGCACATCGCGGCGGGGCAGGGTGAGACGGAGAGGAGACGCGTGCGGGCTGCCGGCCAGAAGCTGACAACGGCAGACGATCAGGGCGCCGACCCCCGCGGGCGGGCTGCGAGCTCCGAGCTGAGGCGCGCGGCCGAGCGGGGCCCGAGCACCGGAAACGGCGCCTCCCGCTTGGGGCGCTGCGCGCACGCGGGTGCAAGCGCTTTGCAGGAAGCAAACAAAAAAAAAGAAAAAAGAAAGAATAAAGGGCAAGAGAGAAAAAGGAGGGCTGGTGAGCAGCGGGGGCCGCGCTCGCCTCGTGCACGTCCCGGCCCGGACCTCGGTCCCGGCTGCAGTCCGCCCGGTGGCCCAGGCCTCGGACCCGCGCCCCGCCGCCCTCAGGTGCGTACCCCGCCCCCGCCACCGTTAGAAACAGGCTCGCGTCTCGGAGCTCCCTCTCCCGGAGGGCCATGGAGGACGGGCTGCCCGCGCGGGGACGAGAGGTGGCCCCGGCTGTCCCGCACCCCGAGGCGGCACTAGCCCCCATCACTGTCACCGCGGTGGACCCCAGGAGTGGGGGTGGGGCGGGAAAGCCCTGCCGTGGGGCATCCGCTGCACGCAAATAGCGCGCGCCCCCCTCCTTTCTGATTGGCTGAGAGGGATGCGGGCCCTGGAGGACCACAATGCGCGTGAGGTCACGCTCCGCATGGCGTACGTGAATCGCTTTGGCTGCGTGCAGGCACACCTGATTGGTTAGAAGAGAAGGCGGGATTCCCGCTGTTGCTCGGTAACCGCGCCCGGGTTCGACCTTGTGTGTCACCGGTTGTCTGGTGGCTCTGCCGTGGGTTTTCATTATACATATGCTCTCTGCAGAGCTTGGTAGTTTTTTTTTTGTTTTTTTTTTTTCTGTTATTGTTATTTTGTTTGTTTGTTTCTGTTTTTGCAAGAAGCAAATCCAAAAGGGCTCAGTGCTCTGTCGCAGTTGCAGTCCAGAGTTCAAGACTCGCAGAATTGTGTTTTCCATTCCCCAACCCGAGCTTTGTTGTTTAATTACAGCCTTATTGCGATGCACTAAGATTCACTGTTTTGTTTTTGTTTTGGTGACACTGGAGACTGAGCCTAGGGCTTCTCACTAAGCCATATACCCAGCCCGTTTTGTATTATTTTCAGACAGGATCTTGGTAAGGGGCTAAGTTGCCTAGAATAGGTTAGCATTTGTGATCCTCCTGCCTCAGCCTCTTAGAGTGCTGGAATTACAAGTCTGCCTCACTCTGCTGAGCTAAATTTACTTTAAAGGTCTATAATGTTGGACTGGGGATATAGCTCAACGGAATAAACACCTACTGGGCTAGCTCAAGGTCCTGAGTTCAATCCCTGCACCCCCCCCCCATAAAAGTATATAATGCAGTGGGTTTGCAAATACACTTCTACCACGACTGCAGAATGTTTTCAGCACCTGAGAACAAGCTGTTGTGCCGGGTTTCCCACCATTCCCCTAGCCCCTGGGACACCTTAAACTACTTTTGTCCGTGGACTTGTCTGTTTTGGACATTTAACGTGAATGAAATTTTTTGTGTCTGGCTTCTTTACTTTCGTGTTGTAGTTGTATAATCATTAAGCATGTCGTATTTTGACTTCCCATCAATTGGTGGCTTTTGGGGTTGTTGCCACCTTTTGACTGTTATAAATAATACTTCTGTGTTTCTTGTTTTAAGCTTTGTGTGGACTTTTGTTTTGCAACGCTAGATAGTGACCCCTGCGCTATAGCCCTGATCCTTCTCCATTTCATTCTGCATCTTGCCCAGGCTGGCCTGGAACTTGTGATTCTCCTGCTTCAGCCTCCCATGTAGCAGAAATTACAGGTGTATACCACCATCCCTGGCTCTGTGTGGACATTTATTTTTAATACTCATAAGAGGTTACCAAGGAGAAATGCTGATGAGATGGCTCAGTGGTCTAAAGCACCTACTTAGAATAAGCTTAGCAAAAGCACAGGGACCGCGGTTCAATCCCCCAGCACCACATGCCAGCCAGCCCCGCCCCCTGGTGGGCTGAGCTAGCCACACACACACACACACACACACACACACACAAATAAATAAAAATTTTTTTTTAAAAAAAAGAGTTTACCAAAGAAAGAAATTGCTGGGCCAACCTTTGCCAGTGTTGTTCTTAGCGTATTCTTTGTTTTCTGTTGACACATAATTATATACACTTATGGGTATGGTGTGGTATTTTAATAATACAGGAATTGACATCACCCCAGTTATTTACCATATTTTTTTCTTGGAAAATTCAAAATCCTATCCACTATTTTGGGTTTTTCAAATTGTTCTGGTTTTTTGGGGGGGCGGGGAGAGGGAGGCAGGGTCTTGCTATGTATCCCAGGCTGGCCTCCAACTTGTGGCAATCCTCCTGGCTCTTCTCGACTATTGTGAAGTAGAGTGCTCGCCACTTTTCTTTTGCTGGGACACAAGTACCCAACAACCTCAACTGAAAAAGAGAGATGCTGTGGCTCTTTCCGGTGGGTTCAGTCCGTGGTTGGCTGGCTCCCAGAAACAGCATGGTGGAAGGGCCCATGGAGGAGAACTCACCTCCAGACAGCCAGGAAGCAAGGAGAGAAGGGAGGAGCTGGGGACAAGAACCCGCCCTTCTAGCCACCACCTCCAGTCAGGCTCCCCTCCTGACAGTGCACTCAGCCAGGACCTCGTCCATGAATAAACCCACCAAATGTGCAGTGTGCCATGGTCCAGTCACCTTCCACACTCAGGAGACTTGGGATCTACGCAGCTGTTGCCAACCGTAGCTACCACACTCTGCTAGGGAAGCAAAGCATTCTGGGGGTTGGAGGAGAGCGGCTTTAGCCAATCAGGGCTTTGACTGAAGGGACTCAGCCGTTGGTCAGGAGAGTGACCAAGCCCCTGCTCCCAGAACAAAGAGAGCTGCAGGATTTTACTGATTTTTCTGGGTGGTCTGAAGCATTTTCCATGGGATAGAAGGGTCACCATGCAACTGTCCTAGAGGCTGCTACATAGGCAAAACAAATTTACTGGGGCCAGGGAGATGGCTCAGTAGAATAAGCGCTTGCCTGGCAAGCTCAAGGGCCTGAGTTCAATCCTTGGTTTCGGAAAAAAAAAAAAAAAAAATTACCACTTTATTGGAAAAGAGCAGACTGCAATTACAATTTTAACAAAATAGGGACTGGAGAGATGGCTCAGTGGAATAAGCGCTTCCCTGGCAAGTACAAGGGCCTGAGTTCAATCCCTGGTTCTGCCAAAAAAAAAAAAAAAACAAAAACAAAGTAAAACAAAGTCATCTGTCCACACAGTTAGCTAAAATAGAAAAGAAAGTTTGCATCTCTATCTTTATTTATTTTGCGGAATGGGGGATTGAACTCAGGCCCTTGTGCTTGCCAGGGAAGCGCTT